CCACTTCTGGTTAAGGTCTCACCTCTTAAGGACATTGGCCATGGCGGAAACTGGAGATCGTTAGTAGAAAAGGAGAAGAGAGAACTGTGGAATTGAAACCAGACTGCGAGTTAAAAAACCGTTCCGACCAAAGAGGAGTAGGAGCCGAGTTGGTTGGAACACGCGCCGCCGGAAGAAGAACGGGGCATGGGTCGACTCTCATGGGCCAGTCCGATTCAGAGATTCCGTTTCTTCTCTTACTTATCTCAGGTTCTCTTCGTCTCTAATGTTGTTCTCAACAATGGCTAAGTTGAGTAGTTTCTGCCCTAGTGCTCCAACTTTTGATGACTATAAGAAAGAAAGATTTGATTTTTCAGATGAATAAACTAGGACAACTCTTGACTAGTAGTTGCATTTTGTTTACTTACTCCAACCAAAAAAAAAGTTATCTCCTTTAGAGTAACATTGATGATTGTGCCCAAGCTCCTGACTAAACAAATGTCTCTCCCTGTGTTTACTCTTATCTTGCTCTGTAGCAGAATGGACGAAGAGGCGTTTTGGCTTGCTCTGGCTATGAAAATCGTTATCTTTCGTCTCTAGGTAATCAGTAATTTCACTTCCCATGGATGGTTAACTCTGTATCCTGTCTTTACGAATGTGTTTGGTTTGGTCAGTTGAAGCTTCAGATTGTGAAATTGATGAAGTTCCAGATGATAGCAAAGTAGCGGAGAAAGACACTGCTCTACATTTAGCATTATCACAACTTGCAGGTGATTTTGATGAACACTCTAAGTTGTCATTGCAGCGGTTCTCCCTAAAACGGAGAGTTTCTGTGATATCTACGGGTTCGCTCAACCTTGATCTAGCTCTTGGAGTTGGAGGATTGCCTAAGGTTGTTTACTCTAGAGTCTCAGATACGCTCAGCCGAGCTAAAGTATTGTTTTTTTATAACTCATTAAGGTCCCTAAATGTGTGTTTAAAGGGAAGAATGGTTGAAGTTTACGGAAAAGAAGCTTCTGGAAAGACAACTCTAGCTCTTCATATCATCAAGGAAGCTCAAAAGCTTGGAGGTACTGTTTTTGAATCTATCATCCTTAATACATTTCTTTGAATAGAAACCTTGGGACTTTCTAGAATCTATTCTAAGCTGGGAACACATATCTTCTAGTTTTTTCTTTCTTGTTTCTAATGCGAGAAGTAAGATTCGATTTTGTGAAGTTACAGTTTTGATTCTGACCTGAATGACTTGCTTTTGTTCTTCACTCCATTAGCTTTTTATTTATGTAATAAATACTTGTTTGTGCCAGGTTATTGCGCTTATCTCGATGCCGAGAATGCCATGGATCCTTCTCTAGCAGAATCAATAGGTGTGAACACGGAAGAGCTTCTGATATCACGACCTGATTCTGCTGAAAAGATGCTAAGTATTGTTGATGTGCTAACCAAGAGTGGGTCAGTAGACGTAATTGTGGTTGACAGTGTGAGTTTTCATTGTTTCATCTCAATATGTTCATGTATTCTTTCTGCATCTGTTAATATTAAAAGTGGAATTTACAGGTTGCTGCTCTTGCCCCTCAATGTGAACTTGATGCTCCTGTAGGAGAAAGATACAAAGACACACAATCAAGAATAATGACACAGGCGCTCAGAAAAATCCATTACTCAGTTGGTTATTCTCAGACATTGATCGTTTTTCTTAATCAGGTAAGAAAAGTATTATGGTTTTATCCTCTGTTGCTCCTTTACTTGGATCATATTGACCCACCTACTAGATATAAGATCTCTCTGCTTATTATCTGATCTAGGTCAGATCACATGTCAAATCTAGCATGCATTTTCCCCACGCCGAAGAAGTGACTTGTGGAGGAAATGCATTGCCGTTTCATGCAGCTGTACGTCTCAAAATGATAAGAACCGGGCTAATAAAGACTGACGATAAGGTATTGTTAGGGACATTGTTTCCATTGTGTTATGTAAGCTTGATTTGCCTTAATCTCTAAAATACTGCATAATTTCTGCGAGGAACAGTATGTCAATCGTTTTTTAATTTTAATCCAACATCTTTATCTTCTTTTGACTGCTTTGTTTCCTCAGATAAGTGGTCTCAATGTCTGCGTCCAAGTGGTGAAGAATAAACTGGCGCCAGGAAAGAAGAAATCTGAATTGGGGATTCACTTTGGTCATGGCTTCTACGTGGAGCAAGAGGTATTAGAATTGGCTTGTGAGAATGGAGTTATCTTAAGAGAAGGAACTAGCTATTTCATTGAAGGCGAGGTCATCGAAGGGAAAAACGCAGCTGAGAAGTATCTGGTGGAAAACAAAGAGGTTCTTGATACTGTCGTTGCAATCCTGAGAAACCAGCTCTTCAAGATGTGAGAGAGGAAATTTATTTGGAGTTATCCAAACAAATGTGTATGTTTCGATATAGCCAAAAACCAGTTGAGCTTCTCATCAACCTCAGCTTCCCTATTAAGCAACGTGGAAGGCGCAGAAGCAGTTAGGGAATGTTAACTAAAACAAGGATCAGAGAAGATGTGCAAAAGCTAGTTGTCGTTAGATGATATCATTGGCATTGTTTTGTTAGAGATTCTCCATCATGTACTGCAGAATTCTGCAGATATTTCGGTTCTCTTAACGGGTTTTATCAAAGCATTCTTTCCCTAGAACCTATCTTTCAGTAACTTGGCTTTTTTACTTGGGAGGTTCGGAGTTCATATATTGGCTTATTAAAATCGGTTTTTCTAGTCACTTAACAAGTTTACAATGACCAAACCTACCAACAATTACTAGGCAATATCACTTCTACAAAGTTTGACATATGTAATAAATAGACTAATCATATGCTAGATTAACTTCACTGTGGACAGATCCATCTTCCATCCTAATCCAGGTCTTAATACGAAAGGGCATTTCAGAAATCTCCAAAATCCTTGATCCTCTTGGCCAATTTCCATATCCTCCATAACCTGTATGTCTCGCAAAGCAAAGCCAGAGTTTATCTTTGTACGGACAGCACCAGTCTAGTCCATGGTTGTGTCCTACAATCACTGCCTACTTACACAAAATGTAGTTCATTAAGGACTTATATCAAACTTTACGGTATCTAAATGTAGCGCAATTTCGTGTTTAGTAATTTAGTACCTTAACGGAGGATCTGTTCTCAAGAACTCTCATCATCCCATTTTCAGCTTCTTGAGCAGCAACTTTCTCTTTGTTGATTGATCCAACGCAAGGTTTTGTTATCCATAGCCTTGGGGCTACTTTCTTGTATGCTTTACTAGGTATGTGCCAAAATATCAACTCTGGGATCCTGCCCGAAATATACATCTTTCGATATTGACTTAGCGACTGATATCGAGTTTGTCCCACCAAAAAAAGGCTTTAATGTTTTGATTCATACCTTAAATCAGGATTAAGAGTATTAGACATGGTTTTAAACCATTCCACTTGAGCATTTGAGATAACCTCAGGGTATGAACCACCGCCCGAATCAAGAAAGTATAGTATTGCCACGGGTGGTTTTGAATGATCCGATGATTCAACAAGAAGGACATAGTTAGATACGCTTGGCCATAGCTCCTTAGGACCAATCATAGAGTATGAGAGTGCACTGGATGACTTTATCTCTTCGCGAATCAATTCCACTCGCGTAGTTCCTCTAAACGCGCATCCATCATCATCCGATGCAGCAGGGCAGCGAATGGGAGGAATACCGGAGGAAGAGAACCAATCCAAAGGCCAAAGAAAAGAAGCATCGTCGTGGTTACCAAAGAGAGTAGCCCATGGAATGCCTCTGTCTCTTGTAGGAGAGATTGCTTTGTCCCAAAACAAGCTTGCGTTTTGGATTGCTATGTTGTTAGCCGTTACTACATCTCCCAAGTAGACCACAAAATCTGTCCATGTCTCCAAAAAACGGTTATTTCAGTTATGTTAATCTCACATTGTACAAGCTTAGCTAATTAACACTCTACATATAAGAAAAATTGAAGTTCAATATTTTTCATGTTTGGACGTTGCGTTTTCAATAGAATCAACAACTTGCAAAACATAACACAACTTGCAGTTGAATGAGAGATTGATTTTAAGGGTGATGTAGCGTGTTCAATCTAATTAAACCAAACCGTTCAAAATATTCAAAATTAAACCAACAAACCGATCCAAAGCTAAACCACATCGTGACTTGTGGTTATCACTCCTTCTACACCAAATAACGTAACTCATCAAAAAAAACGAGAGATAATGGTAGAAATTATTGTACGGTAACTTCACAGTGTAACAATGACATGATGACCTGGAGTTTCAGCGTCGAGAACGGCGGACATAACGTTAACGGAGTTCACATCTTGACGAGGACCCCAATCAGTCCACGTGTCTTCACCGAAGTGGAGGTCTGCAAAGATGGCCATCTTGAACGTTGATCCTTCCCGCACCCGAAGATTGCCCACCGTCGTCGGTATGCTTAGTTCCCATCCTACGGCTGAGATTAATGGAAGGGATATCACTAAAATGATCAGAAACAACGACGGTTTTTTCATGGTCGTCTTGGAGAAATAATAAATATACGACGATTATATTGAAACTATTCACTGAGCAAAAAAAGTTTTTTTTTTTTTTTTTGTTTTCTGTCTTTTGATCTTTTTCATGTTTAAGGGTCCTTTGAGTTTGCGACAGAATATTAGATAAGTCAAATTTTATTGTTAGCCATAAAAGACAAAATGGCCAAATCATCTTGAACTTAATTTCGTATAAGTTTGCGTCATGTAGCGCATATTCAAAGAATATTCAGTAACTCTTCCTATTTTGGGAGGAATTATTTCCTCGAGAGATAGTGACGTCTTATTATTCTCTTTCTGTTTTGTTTTCTTTGGTGGGTGGGTATTCATGTGACCATGTTACGTCTAATTCAGTCTCTCTTCTCAGAATCCACACCATAATTATTAATTATAAGTTCAGCTCATAATGCGACGTTTATTTGGATACTCTCATATTCAACAGAAAAGACAATATAGTTTGGAATTTGATGAGAGATGAGAAGAAATGTAAATTAAAAATTTAACAGAAAAATACAGCTTAAGAGGAGGGTTCTCATGTTAGATAAAATGGACCAAAGAATCATAATGGTAGTTATGAGAAAAAAAAATAAGTCAAGGATAAAACAATTGAAGCTCTGTAAGATTACTCTTAAGGAACCTTTTTTTTAAGATTTGTTGGTAAAACGTAAATCATCTCTTTAGCAACCTGAGCACGTCTCCGACTAGATGTAGCGATCCTGTGACCAACACCTGTTGCATAAGACACCACCATTATAATCTTAAGATAACCAAAGAAAAGCCGGTAACAGAGAAATGTTTTGTTCTTATTCTAAAGTGTCTGAAAACAAAAATCAGACTTTCATTCTTGTCTTTGGAAATAGAAAATAAATATAGCTTTGCCTTACCTCTAGTTTCAGTGAAGGGTTTCGGCGTACGCAGTCCCGTAGCCAGTTTATTGTCAACGGAAGTGAAGGCATTACGGCGCTGGAAGTGACTTGTGTCGTCCCTGCAGCTCCACCACATTGAGGTGCATCTCCACACAAGAAATCATGAGGTGGTACCGTTATTCCATCGAGCTTCAGTGTATGGTCAAGGGCAGCATCTGATTAGTCACCAGACATATGATCAAGTTTAGGCGCAACATCAACAAGTTACAAAGAAACAATACTTAAACGTACCTGTTCCTTGGATTGATTTCTCCCATAGTCTTTGTAGTCTGAATTGCCAAGTCAAATCCTTTCTACGAGTATCCGAAGGAATTGCTGATGCACCCGAAATAACCTTGTTGTACGTAGACATGCTCGGGACAAAAAGCGCTCTTGAGAAATGAGTGCCTGAGAGTGTTTCATTCACCAATATGCATAAGTATTAACAAGAAACTAGAAAAACAGGGTATAGTTTGTTTCATATTACCTGAGGAAGCGCAAGTGGTGACCAGCTTTGGAAGTAAGACTTGAGGGTCTCTCACTTCCATGCAGTTGAACAGAAGAATCTATTGACACATGAGAAAGCTTCACAAAGTCAGATCAAAAGTATAAAACACAAAAGTCAATTTGCAATACCTTGAATAGAGAAGAAAGCAAAAGATTTGTGTTAACAAAGAAATTGCATTGATCATTGTTGGTCTTGAATACCTGTTTGGAGACTCTGTTAAAGTCTCTACCATACTCCTCATGTCTCTTGTAACCATTGACAGCAGTGGATAAGCTTTTGTTTCCTCCGACTGCAGAAGAAAACCATCGACCACAAGCCTCCATGCTCTCTGGACTGTGAGCTCCATCCAAGTAAAAGATCAGATCACCGCATGGAGTTTCCATCGAACCTGACGATTCCTGCGGATCTGAAACTACATCATGAACAACCTGAGCTCTCCCATGTAGACGTGCCGTTGCAAGACCACGACAAAAAGCCACGGGAATCTCAGTTTCCTTGCTTCCCTGTTAGTAAAAATCCCATAAGAACAAACAAGATTCACCAAATAAACTCCTTGGAAGTTTTGATAAAGGATTAATGACCAAGAGCAAAACCCAACATTTGGAAACATCTTCTCCCAATTTCCAGTTCTTTGAAGCCAGCATCTTGAAAGAGAAACAGCAAGACCTGCATTTACAAGCTGATGATCCCCAGACAAGCCAAGCGCAACTCCATCCAACTTTTTAAGGTCAAGAGGCGGTACTACTTCCAGAGGAACCTGTAACGAGCCAAACAGCATTCAACATATCTTCCTTGTAGTTCGGTTTTTTATAACAGCATAACTAAGCCACAGACGCCAAAAACCACATTACGGTTGGAAACATAAACAGCTTTATTTCCAAAATTGAGAATCAAAGACACCAAGGAACCAAAGATAAAACCCTGGTGGTAAATTCTAGAGCACCCCCAAACTCTCCCAAACCCAAACAATTTTTAAAAGATTTGATACCTCTTTCCACATTTCAAGCTTCTCTTAGTTCTATTGATCCTAGTTACTACTATACACATGCTGATGTGGCATGTGTATTTGATAAACTCTTATCAGAACTACAACTTTTTGAACTTATACTAATCGGAACACTTGACATAAGTGGGATGAAATATAGAACCTACTAGAGTTACCTCAAGATTATTAGCTGTTTTCTGAAGAACCTCCATTGCTTCAGAGAGTTGTGGTACTGTGAAGGCGGGGATTTGAGGCTTTCATTAGCATACAAGAAAACAGAGAAAATCAGAGAATATCCAACATGAAACTGCCAATGGAAAACTTTGAAACAAAAATTATTACATTCATCAAATTCTGACACAAAAAAAAAAAAAAAAAACCGTTTGAAAAGTAGCTACTATAGTCGGAAGGTACCTTAAAAATCCCAGCCTTATGAAATGCAATATCAGCCAGCGTATTTCCTGTGTAGAATTAGCATTGAGAAGCATGAGAGAGAAACTACATTTGCCTAATGAACTGAGAATAAATATGGCATACCCAATATATCCATATGATCCATCCCAAGAGAAGCTATGCCGCAGACAACAGGTTTTTGAATCTGTAATTTACATTTTTCCATTTTAATGAAGACTGATGTCCAACATTAAATAAATATGACAGGAAACTCAGGAAACATAAGATTCTCAAAAGATGCTAACCACATTTGTCGAGTCAAGTTTTCCCCCAAGTCCAACTTCAATGACAGCAACATCAACCTAACAGGAACAATAGTTTGAGCTAAACACATTAGGTTTCAATGCAATGGGAACTTAGTGAAATGTCTAAGACTTCTTGATGAGAATAGTAATATACCTTTTCACAAACAAAAATCTTAAATGCCAATACTGTGAGAAACTGAAAAAGGGGAGGCATGGTAAGACCATCTACAGCTTTCTCCTGCAAAAAAGAATCTCACGATTAGATATCTACATTGTTTGCTAGTAATCTACACTGAGTATTTTACTCGTAGTTAAACAGACAGCACTAAAGGTTATACAACCAATACATTCTACAAATCAAGGCGAAAACCTTTACCTCCTCATTCAATAAATACAACAGAACAGACTCAGAATGGGAAATTGCTATAAAAGCAATGCAAAGAGCATGACTTCTGGTAATTTGTGGCAGAAAGTTAGCAATGAATAATACTTAAAGACTATATCTCAAACCGGAACAAAAAGCACTACATTTCGAAAAGGGTCTTTTACCTTCAGTAACTTCCAACATTCCCAGAAATACTGTAGAAACTTTTCCTCAGATATATCCAAGCTGGAAAAGCAAAACCGCATTCAATTTCATCTCTTGTGTGTTCATATAACATTGAACATTAATGTATTGATGAACTTACCCATCTATTCGGAATCTTTCCCTCACATCAATCAGGTGAGGAGATGTAAACATTCCGGTTCGAAACCCACAATTACGTAAAATTGCCTCAGAGAAGACACATGTTGAACCCTGAAATACACAAATACAAAGCCAGAACCCAAGAAAATCAGTAGCTACTAATAGATATTCTAGTCATCAATATTACTACCATACCGCATAAGCTATAACTATGGGCCACAAGAATTCCAGGGTTTAGAAATCGGAAAAATAGCCTCTTGCAGGCTCAGACACGCATTAGATGGTCCCATCGAATACCATGACTATTCAGCATAGATAGTTAAGTCACCAAATGATTAAGTGCAAATTGCTCGAAATTGGAAACGGCATCATCTCACATAAGTGCTACATTCCTTCTACCTACTTATTTTTCAAATTCTAGGACATGCATTAGCTAAAGTGAAAAAGCAACTTACCTTTCCTTTTGTTCCTGCGACATGAATAACTTTTAGTTCTTTTATTTTTTCCTCCAGGCCCAAAATCTGTATTTCTCAAACCAAAACAGCAGACACATTCCCAGTATTTAGTAACATCGAAAAGGGAAGATTACTACTGACAAGAAAAAGATGCCAAAGGATCACATGATATGAAGGTAAAAGTCTTCAAAGGAAAGGATGAAAGAAATTTGATTTGAATGACAACACTCGAAATTCTCAATGGCCAGAGGCAACATAAGTCATGTATCTCTCAACAGAGAAGGCCCAGAAAAGCTCAGTCTAAAGAGAAGAAAAATCTACCAAATTCCTTGATCTCACTTGAGACAATTCAGAATGAGTTATCTAACATTCATGTTGCACTACAATATTGAAAATATTCTCAACAGTCAACAGTCTTTGTATGATTTTATTTTTGTTTCGTTTGAGCTTATGCTTACACTAGAAAGTACCACCTAATTAGTGTTGGACTGTAAATGGCTGTATCACCTTGAGATATGTGATGACTTGTTCAAGCTTGTCACGATTTCCTCTAGTAGGTGTGCGGTCCCCACGGTTTCGACGAGAAATAAGAGTCGACAGCGCTTCCATGGCATCATCATATGAAGATAAAGCTGGATTATCTGCCTTGTCTTCCTTTGAACCCATATCAATGGCAGCTTTGTCCACAACTTCTATTGATTTGCTTGAGTACCTAAGATCTAGAGACGCCAACAGAGCAATAAGAACCCCATCCCCAGGCATGAAACAAGCAAGTGTAAGCAGAGTGGTGTATATAACTTACTTGTGTTGAAATAAACACGATCCCCAGTGCCCAAAGGTAAACTGTGAAAGCCCCTCTTTGTTTTAGTGAAGAAGGATTTTCTTTTGTCATAAAAGAATGGAACTCCAGGTGCTTCGCACTTTAGAAACCCTTTCCCATAAACGAGCATCAGGGAAAGTCAAATCTGCAACCAAAACATGCTTGATAAGTTGTTAAATCTGTTATCTGTTTTAAATCCAATTAAACAAGTCAAGTCGCCAAAAATCACTTGGATTACATCAAAAAGCACAACATCTTTCCTGAGTTCCGTTCCAACTAAGTTGTCTACTTGAAGCATTGATAGTATTCTCAAAGTCTCAATAATGTAAATGCTAAGATTCTAGAAACTCCATAGATAGAAATCAAATAAAGAAGAAGACTCATATCTGTTCAACCTCAACCCATTTTCAAAGCAAGCAAACAAAATCGATTGATGAACACGAATACCTATAAAGTTTCAATCTTTCAGACAATATAGCCGAACCCGAAAGTAGTTTAAGGGACGGATAGAGAACCAACCATGGGAAGCTTCAATTGTTAAATCGATTTCGTGGGTCAATGACTCTTTGTTTGTGTGGCTCCTCTTATTGCAACGTAAGTGTATATCAGTTCCAGTGATTGCGGAAATCTTCAGACGAGACTCTTAGGGTTTGTGGGGGTGTTCCAGAGTGTCTCAGTACTCAGCAGCCATTTGCAGTCTCCACCACCTTCATTTTCGAATCATCATCTTCCTCATCCTTAACTAAATTAAAGCCATTCAATTAATATTAAATAATTGTTTTTTTTTTTTTCCTTTTTCTTGTCTCAAACAGTTAATAGTCTAGATAACAAAAAATCCAAATCTTAATTTTTGCTTAATAGATGTAAAATGTATTTGTTGTATGTTATTACCCTAATATATTATACTATATAGTATAATAACTCAAATGTATTTAAAAAAAAAAAGTGAATTTTATCAAAAAAAAGTGGTCCATATACAGTATTCTTCACAAATGTTCTTATTAAATGAAAATAATCCAAATTTTAAAGATAATCATGTATTCCAAATCGTACAAAATTATGCACATCTTTGTGTCTTAAATCGTTGTTAGTAGTTCACTTTTAGAACTTTCCATTTTATATACTTCTCTTTCTACCTTCTCACAATTGAAGCAATTTGGTAGGTCAATGGTAATTTGGTATAACTTCAATTCTGTAGCCGATCGAAACAATTTGGTACGTAGATCAAGTCAACGGTTGTAATACCTAGACTTTCATGAGTTTAGAGAGTAGTTTGGATTAATCTTTTGGTTTATAATCAAAACGAAAAAAAAAAAAATGATTCTCAAATTGGTACGAAGTAAACACATTGAATGTGGTGTGAATATATCAAATATACACTTAAGATTAATCTAGATATAGTTGAGAATTGAGAAGGTTCCTATCTCAAACATTTATTTTGTTGAATGAAAATAGAAAAGTATTCTAAACTTTCTGAACATTTTAAACCAAATAAAACAAACTTTCTGAACATGCAAAATGGCTTGGCATGTAAACACAATTAGGTCACGGGGAAGCCTACAGAGAGAAATCTACTTCGAATCCCAAAATTTCTCACCACGTGTCTTTTTCTTGACGAAATTCGTCTCCAAGAACATTCAGAACAATTCTCAAAATATAGAACAAATATATAAGTTAAATGCGGAAAAAGTGGAGTCACAAGAAAGAGATAGGGTTAGCAAGCGGTAGAATTACACATGTGATAAGCCTCGTTTCGTTCGTTATCACATCTTTGCTCTCTACTTCACTTGTCCGAGATTGGGAACATGAAAGTCTATATTTGTACTTACCACTAAACTTTTGGTTATACATATTCCATAATATTATATGCATACACAAAATCACAACTTTAGATTTTATATACGGAAATGTATTATTTCTTACATAATTTTGATGTTTAATCAGTAATTAAGTATTTTAAAATTAGGTTTTACATATGATTATTGATTGGTGTTCAATCCATTAATTAAGTATAGTTACACCATTGAAAACTTTAAATAAAAAAAAGAGAGAGTATATTTAGAGTTTAGACCATAGTTAATTGATGGCTTCTACTTTGCAAAAAAAGCAGTGACATGAGAAATATGTTTTCAAGATTAAAAATTATTTGGAATTTGGACTATATTTATGTATTGGACCTCTATATCCTTTGTTCACAATGATCGCTTAGTCTGCAAAATAAACCATATACCTGAGCTTCATTACAATCATTTCTGTTTTCAGAAAATGGCAACAAAACTTAACACCATTGTTTTCTCCATTGTTCTGTTACATCTTCCTCTGTCTGCCCAAATGCATGTAAGTTTTTGAACACTCTTTTCTATTTTACCATCTATGTATTCCTCTATTGTTCACATTTATCAACTTTATCTTATCCGTCCTGAATAATACACAGCCTATATACTTGGAATCTCCTGCTCCACAACCACAACCACCACAGTCGCAACCACAACTGCCGCATCACAATAGCTCTCAAGTGAGTTTCTCCGGTTTCACTACTGAAAAGAGTTTCATGAAACCCACACAACCGTTTTAGTTAACATCCTTTGAATTTGATTCTTCTTGTTGATTTTGATAGTACGGTACTACTCAAGGCAGTCTTCAACCCCAAGGTAAACCAATGACTATTTTAGTTTTTGATGAATGTTTGTGCTGAATGCGAAACTAAATCCGCTATTCCACATACATTAGAGTGTGGGCCAAGGTGTGGAGATAGATGCTCGAATACACAATACAAGAAGCCATGTTTGTTCTTCTGCAACAAATGTTGTACTAAGTGCTTGTGTGTGCCTCCAGGTACTTATGGCAATAAGCAAGTATGTCCTTGCTACAACAACTGGAAGACCAAGAGCGGTGGACCAAAATGCCCTTGATTTATCCTCTTAACTACTTCAGCAAAACCTCCATGTAGTTTGTTGATCTATCTATCATAATTTATATATATATATTGGACTCTTTCATAATCACATCAGTTCTCTGTGATTTTGACGTGAATCACTTCAAAAGTATACAGCTTTTAAACATTTACTAGCCGCGAATCAACTACTTAAGAGTTATGTTGTTTTAAGTTCATCACATTGTTCTTGAAGAAGCAGAGAGTTGCTTCTTGAGATCGAGAACTTCGAGTGCTTTTGATGCTAACTTCTCCTTTAGCTTAGCAGATGCCTCCATGAACTTCCTGTTCATAAGTTCTGATTCTTGCACAGACTGCTTGTGCCTTAGACTGATTGCATCTAAGCGTGCTTGCGTACCCCTGAGTCGCATTTTTAGCTTTGCCTTCTCCTTGTTTTCTGCAGCTGCATCCTGCTATCAGATACATCAAAAAATATGGTTAATATATGAAAACTAGTTATATCGGGAAAGTTAAAACTGCAATTTCTTGCATTGGTTCTTTTGGAGGAAAATCAATGAGAAAAAACACAATCAAACATTTCACTTGGCATTACCTTGCACGGATTGATTTCTTGGCTTGAGATTCTGTGAGTCAATTCTTCAATTGGATTTTTTGCATTTTCAATCTGACGGCAGTAATAGGGTTTTAGTGAGAATGAATGGTTACTACTATATCTGTAATAGAGTCAAGTCAGTGAGCTGTAAACCAAACCTGCCAACGATTTGATGAAGCAAGTTCATTACTCAACTCCTTTATGCGAGCTAGCAAACCCTGGCGCTCACTTGTGACATAATCCAGCTCTCTCTGAAATGTATCTGACATCTCGCAAGCATGTTGAACTTCGGACTTTAGAGTGTCGATATCAGACTTGAGAACCTGCAGGTGCACATATCAATTTTGTGTATAAAGTTTGCATCTTTAACATAACAAATTTTCAAGTGATGTCATCTGGTCTTTAACTGGCATACCAAAAGCATGAGTACGATAACCAGAAAGTCAGGTGTATTGTCATCAGCAACATTACAAATTTAGATTTCTCATTGAAAAATGTAATACAACCTCTGCATCAGACGTTCAGAGAGGAAACCTTTTGTGAAATGATTCTTACCTCTTGAGATTGCTTACTCACAGCATCAGCTGATCGAAGTTCATCACCCAGTCTATCAATTTCCAAAGACTTCTCCAGGCTACAGGGTAACATAAAATAGTGAAGTCAGAACAGATATAGCATCAACTAGAGTACAGATCAACCAAGTGCCGGAAAGCTTAGCAAGAATATTTTAAAAGGAGATAGAATTTGAACTTTCTAAAGTAGAGAAATGCAAAGTACAAACCTGCATTCTTTTTCCTGCTTAGCATTCTCCTCGGAAGATTCCAGCTCCTTCTTTGCCTAAAAGTATCATGAGATCGAGAACTTAAAATGGCACAATAAAAGGGTTTTCCGTCAGAACATATATTATATTTAGAGAAAGCCTAAGAAAATATTAGAAATAAAATAATTTTTGGTCGTCGCTACAGAAAGTTCATGCTGATGACAGTTATGCAGAACTTCTCATGATAATTCCAAACCACCACTCTAGAATATAGATCAAAATAGATAGGATAAGCTATGCTAGTTAAACAAATTGATAGTTCTGAAGGGCAACATCCAAAGTGATGTTGCAAGAAAAGTTTGGGTTTTAATCTCACTACAAAAGGTTCCTTGTTTGGAACATACCTCTGACATTTCTTTAGATAGTGACTCAATTTGTATACTATATAGTCTGATCTTTTCCTCCACGGCCTCTGTCAAAGCTTTTTCTTTCGAGCTCCATATTGCTTTCTCTTCCTCCATTTCTAAAAGTGAGTTCGCCAGATGCTGAACAACAGAGAAAATTACTGGATTTACACAAACAAGAACTAAGTTTAGAATCTGTGTCAGAATCATCATACCATTGCTAGCTCTTCCTTTTCTTCAAGCAACTGCTTAACATTGGTTTCCAGTTGTTGCTGATCAGAAGATGAGCCTTCAAGTCTCGTTTTCTGGAACAAAACATGACATACAGTTGAGCAAACGCAGTGCATCTTGAAAACGCTAACTGCATCAACTTCAATATCAACAATTTATGGATCAATCATCAATTGCATGAAAAGACGTACAAGCTCAGAGACATCTTTTTGCAGATGTTCTAGTTGAGTATTTGAGTGCTCCAGTTTCTCTGTCAGATCTGTAATTTCTGAATCTAAACCCTCATTTCTACAGAGTGCCTCCCTTTTTTCTCCACGTTCAGCGGCCAGCTCCTCCTCCAGTGAAGCAATTGTGGTTTCCATTTCAAAAGCAAGCACTTCAAGCTGTTTAAATTCTTCCTGATAAATGTGAAGTAGAAATGGGAATGAGCATCTCACTTGGACGGAAAGTATATATCCACCAAAAATCACTGATATGGCTCTCCACTGGGAAAAATATACCAAAAGATAGAAACATATGATCATGCAATGCTTGAACAATACCCAAATTCAGCAAACAGAGAGAGATTTGCTGCAAGAAGATAACAATTTCTTACATTTTATTAGCTTCCTATATCTCGACTTTGCATTTCCAACATTGGACAAGTAATATTAGAATGGCAAAAAGAAGATCATGCAGCAAACAAAACATAGGATAATACCTGCAACGACTGGTTAGCACTTCTCTCAACAAGAAGAGAGTCGTGTCTTTTACCAGCAAAGGACTCCTGTTTGTTGATGTCTCTCTCGAGGAGGGCCTTCTGGCTATGCAAGCGTTTTAACTCTCTTTCAGCAGATGCTTTCTCAGCCTTTGCAAGGATATCAGAATTAATTGTACAAATTAGATGTTTTATGCGACAAAATATCTTGTACTACTTAAGTTAAGAATTGGGTCCACCGCGCACCTCTAGCTTGGTTTTATCTTGCATGGAATTCTTAAGCTTTGATTCAGTGTCTTTTAGCTTTGTTTTCGTCTTCTCAAAATCTTTTCTTAGGTTCTCCTTCTCTTTGGCCAAGGAAGAGGATGACAGACTCGCTATATCCTTTTCAAGACATTCTATGTGAGAGAGTAGATCTGACCTCTCCGACTCATGGTTTTCTGAGAGCATCTGACAAATGGTTAAAAACGTCAAGTTACTTCTAACACTGGAGAGTTTGAGGAAGGAAAGAAACAAACTCTAAAGTATGTTTGAAGAAAACTAAAATACCATTAAGGAAGTTTCATGCTTTTGGGATTCCTGATTTAGTTCTTCTATTTGGCTCTGCAGACCAGCACACTGCTCTTGCAAAAGAAGCTGAAAAGTAAAATCATGAATTAAGCTAAAATACTCACAAATTTAACATCAAGTGCAGGGTGAGAGGAGAACAAAAATGTCGGACCTTCTCATTCTCAACATCAAGAACTTTTTGTTTTAGACTAGATTGGACACTTTGGTAGCTGTTGATAAGTGACTCATGTTGCTCAGAAATTTGGCGCACAAACAATGTGAAATCCTGCAGTGGGAAATTTTATCATAAAAGAAAACGATTGTTAATTTTTACTACCAGCCATAATTGAGGTATGCTGCACTAAACACAGCTTATACCCGAAAAGAAATAAACGATGCAAGAGAATATATCAAACAATGCAAAGTACTTACATGTATCAAAGGAGAGATGAAAGCAAAATCTTGGAGACCCTCATTCATAACTGACGATATGGTTTCCACTGATACTTTATATTTTCGAAATTCAGACTCTAAGACTTCAACTTTTGTTGCTACGTTGACCAGTGAGTTGAAATTCTCCTTCAAAGTAAAAAGTAAACAATTCAATTAGGCAATGGCACACTGGGTGGCAACAATAATAATTTGTCTTGAGATTTTCAGATTAATGGGATAAATTTGAAAAGGAGACCAACATTAAGCACATGAATAACTTCAGACTCCTTGGACACAAGTTGTTCACGAGCAACCTGGGCCTCTTCTCTAGCAGCATGAATCTCTTCTTGAATCTACAGAATTTCATACATGAAAGGTTTAAAACCCTATAACAGTACCAAAACAAGTCTAGAAAGCGGACTTAAAAGAAGAATTTTCTTTTACTTGTTGAGCAAAGGTATAAAGTGATAAAGACGAAAAAGAATTCATATTGTAAAATGTAAGGTCACTGACAATTTAAGAATGATGATTCTCCTTGAACAAGAACATCAATTAATAATAAGAGTCTATGTGATAAGCAGTTCCAAAAACATGTAATCAACAACTAAAACGATACTTTAACCACCAAAACAAAGATACAACTAAAACGATATATGGTCATATTATTAAAAATATGTTTTTATCTGAACATTTTCTAACCAATTTCTTAAACTTATGAAGCACAAAGGCATTTCTTTTTCCAGGTGGCTGGACAGAACAGCAAATCACAGTCAGTTAGAGAACCACATATACCTCAGCAAATTTTTCCCTGGCACATATATTCTGCTCAGTAGCTACCATGACAAGATCATCAAGATTTCGGTTGCTTGAAGACTTCTCCAATTCTAGCATGTTTATCTTTTGGACAGAACATATCATGGTTAATCAAAAAGCCATAATGAAAGCAAGAGAAGCTACTTAATTAGTCGCTCCAGTTGTAAGTAGAGAAAAGAAGACATGCACCTTCTCTTGGAGTTGCTTAATGAGAAGAATAGCTTCTGGATCTCTTAAGTTTACAACATGCTCATCCCAATGCACGTTGCCAACAACTTCTGATTGCTTGCATTTTGCATCACCAGATAAACCATCTTCACCCAACTTCGCCTTAAGGCACTCAATTTGTATTTCGCTGATGATTCTCTATTGAAGGGTGTGGAGAAATAAGAAATAAAAACCATAAACTACCGATATTGAGAAGAACAAACTATTACCTCGGTTTCATATTGCAAGAGAAGATCCTCATATTCCCTTTGAATTCTATCTAACTCGTTTTCAACCTATGAAACACTAACAAAATGTCAGTTTTACAACAAGAAGAGCACAAGATACATTCAAAAGAGGAACACTGACCACTACAGGAGTTTTCTGTCTAATTATCGTTTTCTTTCTGCTTGTCACATTCACTAATGCACATGGATCTGGAAGTGCAGAATCTTCAAGGGTTCCATCGATACTATCTTCATCTTCCTCGTTAATGTTATATAAAGGTTCATTTACTAGTTCCGAAAATGGAAGTAGTGGACCAGTCTCACGCTCGGATCTTGCAGATTCAAGAGAGGATCCCCTTGACAAAACATTAGACTGAACCTGATACGAAAGAAACAAAATATTTTTATGGCTGCCAAAGTCAACATTTTCGCGTGTTTGTTAGTCATTTATACAACATTCACCTCTGATGTGGAGTCTCGTGAAAGCTTACCAATACACCATGTATCCCTCCTTTTTCCCTGCAAGCAAACAACATATCAAATCTTAGAAGAGATGGGAAGAAATTTTTTTTTTTTTTTAGATGGGAAGAAATTGCGACAAAGATAGTTAAATAATTCACTTAACAGTGTCATACTAATGTCGGCGCGAACAACAGTATTACAATATGCTGAGATCATTCTAACTAAACTAGTCAAGAATTAGGTTACAAGCATATCTTGTTCCACTATAAAATCAAATGTTTACCCTTCCACTATGGTTCCGTAATTTGAAGTTTAGCCATAAATGCTAGCACCTAGCCATGCTGTTATAAACTCTCAAGATATCGGAAACTAAATTGATGGAAGAAACAGGAAAAACCTTCTTAAATTGATCCTGTTCACGCTTCTCATCTCTATTCGAAAGGAGAACCATTGAACTCAAGTTCTTAATTTTTTTTGCTTGCTCCTGCAGAACTTTTTCCCTCTGAGCTTGTGCCTTCTTCTCCTCTTCTAACTCAAGTGCTATCCGCTCTCTCTCTAACTCAGACTGCAGAAAAACAGGATAGATCAAAAACGTATGAAAGAATAAACAATTAAGTAATCAAGAACAAAAATGCCATACCTTCAACAAGGTATTGCGCAAGTTAAGAATCTCTTCCTCTGAATGGTCAGAGTGAGAAGTCTGCAATAGAATAGCTGATATTTAACCTGCAATAAAAACATAAGAGAACTTATAAGAAAACGATTTAGAAACCTTTAGTTTGGATCTGAGCTCCTCTATCTCCTTCTTCTGGCGCTTTAATAGAGCAGCATCAGTCAATATCTGTATTGAAAACACAAGAATAGATGGATAATTAGTTTTTAAGAAAATGCACATCCTTCTAACAGTCTTAATCAGTAAACATGTTAAAGATGGAGAGAATAAGTGCAAAATGATTTGGATCCAACCTCATTGACATGGGCACAGTTAGTGACACGCAGTGCTCGGCTAGCGAACTGAAGACTGCTCTTGGTTTCATCTGCATGAATCTAACATCAAAACGAAGATTAACATTGTTGATTGCACCAAAGAAAACAAAGAGAAAATGAAGACTGCTCTTTAATTTATTGGTGATTAATACATACTGGTGCAAGTGTTATATTGCATATAATAGCTGTATTTGCATTTCCACCTAAGGCGGGCTGCAAGATCCTTGTAAGCTTGCTGTCTCGGTAGGGGACATGACCACTAACTCAACCAAAGAAAATGCCAAAAAGATTAGACAAGTAATGCTTACGTACCCATATGCTTCATTCCCTAACAAAAGTGACCAAAAAAACCTACCCTTGATTTTCTACTCCTTCACTCAGTTTTTTAATGACAGTCCCGAGTGTCATCAAGCTTTTGTTTATATGTGAGCCCTCCTTCAACCTAACACCCTCTGCACCGGTTTTTGCAGCCCGTTCTGAACCAGCTAGATCCACCAAATTCTACAAGTGAAAAGAAAGAAGAAAGATGACACAGAAAATAATATTTTGCATGGAAGGGGGAACAAAAACACTAGTTCCAATGGAATAATACCAAAACTGAAACACGGACTGCATCACAGGCATTTCCAACACCTTCATCTTGCATCTTCTGTCTACTTTCTATAATCTGTTTACGAAGAAGCTGGCAAGTCAAAAACCAACTTACATTTAATTGAGGGCTAAGTTTGAGTATATTTACCATGCGGAAAATAGTGTGAGATCTGCTACTGTAAAGATTCATATTTGTCTCCCCAATATGCCGATGAGCTGAAATTATATTTCCAAAGACAAAAGAAGATCCATCAACTAAATCCATATTAGCGAAACCAAGATTGGAGACAGAAGATTAAAATCAGGAGATGCATACAAATGAATGTGTACGGGTGAAGAAAACACAAAAACTATGTTTGAAACAAACAAAATAGAGAAAACAATGAGAAGAAAACAGAAAGTACATTCTCCAAATTCCATCATTTCAAGGACTTGTTGAGGGGAAGCGACAATCTCTTCTCGTAATCCAGCAACAAATATTCCTTTCTATAACATAAAGATTGGTTAACACATCAGAATCGCTAGAGAATTTGTTACAGGTGATTCTAAGAAGACATATAAGTACCTCTAGATTTTCATGAATCTGTAGTTTTCTGTGTTCAGGAGCCAACAAATCGTTGATATCTTCATTATAAATCTCCAGGTACGACATACGCAACAGAAACTCTCTACTTGCATCCTAGGGGTTAAAGAAAAAGAAAGACAGTTAGTCCTCAAATCAATAACTTTCCACAAATAACACCAAATCAATAAAAAAAATCCAGTAATAACACCAATTCACAACGAATGGTAAGAAAATTTTGGGATGAACCTGATATATAGTGTCAAACAAATCATGTACAGCGAGAGGGATGACTCCAGGTTCAATAGGTGAGCCTCGCATTGTATGTGTCTTGCCACTATTAGTTTGCCCGTAAGCAAAGACCGTTCCTTCAAACATCATTAGCCAAAAAGGAGTAAGGGAGATTGAAATCAAAGAACCACAAATTACTGAGATATCAAAATTGAAGCAAAAATCGGAACAGCTGAGTAAATCAGATTACTGAGATATCAAAAATTGGAGCAAAAATTTGGAAGAGATAAGTAAATAAGCTAAACCCATAAGAAAAATTGTTGAGTTTACCGTTGAATCCACGAACTGCGGCAGCAACAATCTCCTTGGTCCGTGCCTCATACACTTGAATAGTTTTACAATCTTCTCTAAAAATCCGATCTGTTATTGTAGGAAAAGAGAGAGATATTGGGTATGAAAATTGCAAGCAGAATAAAGTGGAAAAGAGAAGTGAGGAAAAAAGTACCAAATTCAAATGAGAGAGAAGAGTGATTGGGCATGAAAATTGAGTCGGAAGAGATCTTCCAGGGACTTGTCTTCTCGTCCTCCGATGAAAGCGGCCGCGCTCTGACTGAGACATGGATTCTCTCCATTCTCCGGTAATCTTCTCCGGCGAACAAAGAAAGACCTAAAACTCTCTCTCAGGTGTTCGAAATTAGTTTTCCCTCCCTCGTCACTAAATCTGGTTTATCTTTAAGTTTTTCGAATTTCAAAAATCGTATCGACCGGTTAGTTAATAATTTTTGCAGATATTTTTTATCCAAAAAAAGATCCTTCAACCACATAACTAAAGACAACGAAAAAATCGTACTTTTCAGTTAATCTAACTAAGTACAGTTACATTAAAAACTAAAAAATAAATCAAATAAGGATAAAGTTAAAAAGTGGAGTAGGAAACTTCCAGGAAATTGCCAATGGGTAAACTCTCACACTTATCACTCCCCCATTTATATGTAACTAAGTTGTTCACTTCCTCCATCAAATCACACTATGAAACTCACCAAACTAAATCCAAAACGTTTCTTCATCAGATCCAAAGATCCTTCCACTGTTTCTAAATCCCCCGCGGCTTCTTCCTTTGGATCCGCCACCTCATCTTCCGGCCAAGACTGTAAAACCTCCGGCGGTGGCGGTTCCGTTACGCCGACTAGCATTCTCCCAGAGGTTCCCTCTCCTTATTCCTACATCGAGATTCTCCAAGCGTTTAAGTTGATAGACAGAGACAACGACGGAGCTGTCTCGAGACACGATCTTGAGTCGTTACTTAGCCGGCTCGGTCCTGAGCCATTGACGGAGGAGGAGATCAACGTTATGATTAAAGAGGTGGATGGCGACGGAGACGGTACGATCCGTTTAGAAGAGCTTGCGAGTCGTGTAGTCTCTTTAGATCCCGCTCGTGATTCGACTGAGCTAAAGGAGACTTTTGAGTTCTTTGACGCGGATCGTGACGGTTTGATCTCAGCTGATGAGCTTCTTAGAGTTTTCTCGACCATTGGAGATGAACGGTGCACGTTAGATGATTGCAAGCGTATGATAGCAGATGTTGATGAGGACGGTGATGGATTTGTATGCTTCACTGAGTTCTCACGAATGATGGATCTTCAGCGTTGATCTTCCCTTTTCTTTTTTTTTTTTTTTTTGGCTATGAAGCTCTTTTTGCCCTTGTTCTATCTAGGGTTATGAGTATCTTTTGTTTTCTTGAGAATTAGTTTTTTTAATTATTTAAGCTGAATGTCTATAATCTGGAATTTTAACGAAGAAATCATGAAAGATGAGAACTTTGAAGATTCTGAGATTAAATTTTTTTATTTTGAAGATTAACATAAAAAAAAAAAAAAGTTTAGAGAATCTAAAAATGTCTAATTGTGAAGATATAATCCATTCTTAAATAAAAATGCACTAGATTTTAACCCGCGGTACACCGCGGGGCTATATTTTCTTAAAAAAATCAAAATGTAATTTGTTTGATAGATTATTTTGATTGTTAATTTTAGGATTTCACCCGTGGTATACTATCTTTTATAAATATCAACCCAAACCCGTCCCATCATATTACCCGTCCCGTGAAATTAAACATCATTTAGTTATTTTTCTTTTTAATAATACTTTTATTTAAAAGCTATATAATTCAAATCAATTTAAAAATTTCTTTTAAATGGTTCCCATAAGATATATATACATATATATTAAATTTGTATAGAGTTGAAATAATATTAATATTACAAACTTTTTATATAATTTAAATATTATAAATATTTTTAAAAATATGCAATATATATTTTTGTTATTGAATAAGAGGATATTATGTGTAAGAAATGTAGAAAATAAGAGGTTAATATTTTTATTATGGAGTCGCAAGAAAAATCTTTTATTTCTATACATGTTATTCGTTTATTAATAATAAAAGAAAACAAATCCTTTAAATTAGATATTAACTAAAATAAACGCACCATAATTACTTATTAAGTAACAACCAATAAATTTCACCAAAAAATAGGTAACAACCAATAAATTCTAAACGCAGTAATTAAAGAATGAGATATTAAAAAAAAATATCAAATAAGATATAAGAATCTTAAAATAATTGAATATCTAAATAATTTAATTGTTAGTGTCGATTTTAATGCCTTCATTAATGTTTTTTTTTACAGAGAAATATTTCCTAAAGATTATCACATTAATGACTCAGAAAATTAAGGAAGATATGAATTTATGATTCTCGAAATCGTGTTGGTAATATCTTTAATTAATATTTTTCAAATTTAAATAATTAATGCCAATGGCATTTATCCGTAAATACATTCCAACTCCAGGATTTATTTGCTAAAAGTCATCCAAAAATGTATATATAAGATTAGATTTGAGAATTTATAGCGTTTGCAGCTTTTTAAGTAAATTGTCAGTTTTGGAAAAATAAGTATTTTTATGCAGTCAAAATTCATTTATAGAGCTGAGAACATGTGAGGCACCACAAGTTTAACTATTTTTTAAATATATTCCATTAAATTGGAAAAGAAAAACAATGGTCCAATTTGTCAGATTCCTTGAAGGCATGTTCTCTGATTGCTCTTTTGAATATATAAGATACCTTTTTTTTTTTACCATTTTCTATTTTTTTTGTTCTACTGCCATTTTTGCAAAATGTTAGTATAATATTCAGTTGTCTCTATATGACTATGTTAATTAACGTAGATCGTCAGTGTATGATTCGTATGATTTCGTTTAGTATCGTATGTATCTAGCAAATTTTCTTCTTGATTATGAACGTCTGATTAAATCTTCTAACTGTTTTACACTCTTCATGATAAAAAAAATTCTTATCATATTATCCATCGATCTCGTGTGTTTCATTTTTCTTATCAATAATAAGAGCACTATTTTAATTCTTACCATTACGTTGAATTTGAATCAAGTAAAAGGCAATAATATTGCTATGATTGATAATCGAAATACATGTAGATGAAAGATGCGTGTAAAGAAGATAATAGTGAGGCAATGAAAGATTCCTAACTACTTTAATCCCAGCTTAAATAAAAGCAACATGCATAAATATATGAATTCAGATCAAACGAATTTGGTGGTTGATGAAGAAGGAGAGTTCCGAGTAGTGGAAGCAGGAGGTCTTTTAGCGAAACAGCTACAATATCCGTTGTAACAAATCGGCATCTTTCCTGTTCTCTTACATCTTGGAATCCCAATCTCCACACAATCTCTGTCCGTTTGACATATATCTCCAACACTCATTGTTACCATGCCTGAATACGTTCAATAGTAATTAAGGATTGCTATTGAAAACTATAAGTGTTTGATATATCGAGATTGACATAAATTACTTACACGACGAGACAAGGAAGAGAATGACGAAGAATGCTGAAATTTTCTCCATTTTATTTTCACTTATTATGTTTGGATTCATAGGTGTCCCTTCTAATTTATACAACTCGTGATTAATGGTTTGGTCTTTGTTCAAATCTAATAGGATATATATCAGTTAAATACATGTCCTAAATAATTGGTCAAAAATTAAAGTATTTCCTTATTCTTTTGTCAGCGAATATTCTTTTTTCAACTTGTGATTATTAAGTTTCCAAACAGTGAATCATTAGAAGAATTTAGAGATTACGAGGTAGAATTATTTCAAGAAAGTATCATAATTCATAACTTAAATATTATATATCTTGATTCAAATTGATACCATAATCTCCAAATCATCCTAATATGGAAACTTCAACTAAATTAAAAAATTTATTTCGCTCGTGTGTGGCACACATTAATTTATCAACCGGGCCAGTCCCAAAATTTTCTGCTGTTAGAAACTTATAAATTTTTACACCCGTTCCATATGTGTTTTGGAAAAAAATAAAACCACATGATTTAAAAAGAAAATTGCAACAAAAAAAAAGAAGAATAAACATAACAAAAAGGAAGTGTTTGGTTTTTTTTTTTTGAATATTTCGAACAAAAGACTAAAAAAAAAAATAGTAGAGAAAATAACGAAAAAAATATATATTATGAAAATTAAAGATATTATTAATCTAATAATTTATTTTGACACGTGGACTAAGTGAGGACGTGACAAGTCTCGGAGGCTGAAGACCACTCTCACTCTGCTTGCTTGATAGATTGTTGAATTCAAAACTCAAAAGTAAAGTAGAAACGAATCCCGAGGAACACCAAGAAACGATAGATACTTCTTGAAGTAGAAGAAGAAGAAGAAAGAGCGACAGAAACAATGGGAGGTTCTTTGTTTGGTGCAGCCAGATCAGGGCAGACGATAATGGTTGCTCTCGTTCTTATGGTTGGATCATTTTACACTGGCTCTCTCTTCGGAACCAACCAACCCATTTACGTCTCTCAACCTTCTTCTCACCCTGGTCTCTTTTCTCTCACTCTCACTCTCTCTGTTCTTCATTCTTCAAAAACATTTCTCTGCATGCATTTGGATTTGTTGTGGAATTTTGCGTGATTTGATTAATATTCTTTTTTTTGCCTCTGGAGGCTAATTAATCAAAAACTCTCCTCAAAATTGAGCAATTCTTGTCTTGAAATTTAACAATGTGGGTTGTTGTTTTTGTTTTGTAGCTTCTTCCAAATTTGCAAACAAAGTCGCGCTTACTTATAGGAGATTACCACTAGTCATACCTGAAACTGGGATGAATGTGTGTCCATTGGAGTTCAATGAGTATATCCCTTGTCACAATGTCACTTATGTGCATCAGCTGCTTCCAAGCTTGAATCTTTCTAGAAGAGAAGAGCTCGAAAGGCATTGCCCGCCACTCGAGCAGCGCCTCTTTTGCTTGGTACCTCCACCAAATGATTATAAGATACCTATAAAATGGCCAACCAGCTTGGTACCTCCACCAAATGATTATAAGATACCTATAAAATGGCCAACCAGTAGAGACTATGTATGGAGAAGTAACGTGAATCATACACATCTTGCTCAAGTTAAAGGGTGGCCAAAATTGGGTGCATGAGCAAGGTCAGTTTTGGTGGTTCCCTGGTGGTGGTACTCATTTTAAGCATGGAGCTGCAGAATACATCCAGAGGTAATTTATTTGGATAAATTATACTGTGTGAAGATGTTTGTCTAATGCATTGCATTGAATTTTATATGTTATCTTCAGGTTGGGGAATATGATGACTAATGAAACAGGTGACTTGCGTTCGGCTGGGGTGGTACAAGTTCTTGATGTTGGCTGTGGCGTTGCGAGCTTTGCGGCTTATCTTCTTCCTTTAGGTATACAGACAATGTCATTTGCTCCCAAAGATGGTCATGAAAACCAGATTCAGTTTGCATTGGAAAGAGGCATCGGTGCAATGATATCCGCGGTTGCCACCAAACAAATGCCTTATCCTGCAGCCTCGTTTGAGATGGTTCATTGTTCGAGATGTCGTGTTGATTGGCATGCAAATGGTATGTATGCATTCTTGTGTTGAATTTGGTTAAAAGAAGTTTACTTCTCATTGCAGTGATAATGCTTCCACTTGATTCTTCAGATGGCATCTTACTAAAAGAAGTTCATCGTCTTCTCCGACCAAATGGATTCTTTGTGTATTCATCGCCACCAGCTTATAGAAATGATAAAGAGTATCCTATGATCTGGGATAAGTTGGTCAATCTAACTAGTGCAATGTGCTGGAAGCTCATTTCCCGGAAGGTACAGACTGCAATATGGATTAAAGACGAGAATGAGGTGTGTCTTAGGCAGAATGCAGAGCTAAAGCTCATAAGTTTATGTGATGTGGAAGATGTTTTGAAACCATCATGGAAAGTTACTCTGAGAGATTGTGTGCAAATCAGTGGACAAACAGAAGAGAGACCCTCTTCTTTAGCTGAACGTCTTTCTGCGTATCCGGGGACTCTAAGAAAAATAGGTACAACATTTCTTATGTTCAAAATCATTGAAGAGGTGGCATTATTAATTATGTTCTGTTAGATTCCTTAACCAGTTTAGCAAAACTCTCATTCAGGGATCAGTGAAGATGAATATACATCAGATACAGTCTACTGGAGAGAACAAGTTAATCACTATTGGCGGTTAATGAATGTCAATGAGACTGAAGTCAGGAATGCGATGGACATGAACGCATTCATTGGTGGGTTTGCTGCAGCTATGAATTCGTATCCTGTTTGGGTAATGAACATAGTACCTGCTACCATGAATGATACCTTGTCTGGAATTTTCGAGAGAGGCTTAAATGGAGCTTTCCATGATTGGTAAGCCTAATAGAGTTTAGTCTATCAAACACTTGTTTTGTTTTGTTTCTGATCCTTGCCAACAAGCGTCAGCACCACTTAACTAAAAAGCAAATGTGTCTTAGGTGTGAGGCGTTCTCAACATATCCTCGCACGTATGATTTGCTGCATTCCGATCATGTCTTCTCTCACTACAACAAAAGCTACGGAGATGGTTGTTTGCTAGAGGATATCATGCTTGAGATGGACCGCATAGTTCGCCCTCAGGTACCTTTGCAATAATAACTAATGGTGACATTATTGTTGAATCAAAAAAACACTTGTGGTGTGGTCCTTTATTAATGAGGGGTTTGTCGGGGTTGGGCAGGGGTTTATCATAATAAGGGACGAGGAATCTATCATCTCAAGGATCCGAGACTTGGCTCCTAAATTATTGTGGGAAGTGGAAACTCATGAGCTTGAAAACAAAGACAAGAAGATGACAGAGACTGTTTTGTTTTGCAGAAAGAGATTCTGGGCTATCATTTGAATAGACTCGCTATTTTTGCTCTCTGGTGCAGCTTAGCTCTGATGATAGTTTACAATAAGAATTTTTTCTCAAACATGTAATAAACCCAAAATAATTACATATATATCAGACTTGGTACTGGTTCGGTCCAAAATCAATCAAAACCAGATTGATACACGAGTCTTTAGTACATTAGCTTACTCTATACAACAGACACAAACATAGAGGTTCTAGCTCAACAAAGAGCAAATGTACTATGAGACCCATCTGTTCTCGTAGCGGTTGAGAGAGAACGATGAAGACTGAACCTCTGCTAACTGGAAAGGATCCGGTTCGATTCCATAGTCCGTTAATGGTCTATGCTCGAGCACATTGTCGTGGTTCTTCACAAAGTCGGGAATTTCTACCTCGCCTTTCTTTATTTCCTCCCAAAGGTACTGCAACCTGCTCACATACTTAATCTTCCAGTACAGTCTGCAATGTTAAAAGAGATATTGTTTTGACAAAAACAGTTAAGTCCACAGTTCTTGATTCAAAAGGTAATCTAGATCCCACAACCGTTTCAAGTTGCTTTCACAGATACAAGCTCAAAGAGCATCAAATTCCTAGATCATGAAAGCTTCAAACTTTAGGTTCAACTTCGAATATGTAAGTTCTGAGGTTACTTATTAATCTAGTTATGCAATTCTGATTATGTAAGTTTGAAATAGCTTTAATAGATCTAGTGATGCATATGAAAAAAAATGATTACCCTCCACTTAGAAGAAGACGGCCAAGAGTGGCAATGACAAGTCTGGAACGAAGACCAGGGTGGATGAAATAAACAAGTTGAAGCCTGTCTTTGATATCTGAAGGAAGGTCCTCGTAAATCCACCGTAAGATGGTAATGCCCGGTGAGTTTTCGTCCCTTTGCACTGTGCTATGCATGTAGACCAAGCAGAAGGGTCCCTCAGAACATTGGTTGCTTATCTTCTGGAATATATACTTCTTCAGCCGCTCTGCACTCACAACACGAGCTGCGTTTCATACACAATTAGAAACTGAATCAAATCAAACCTTAACACAGTTAGAAATCAAATCACAAACATGACCTTGTGATCAAGTCAGCAACTTTATACCAAAATCACAGTATTTGAAGACTCATTTCAACTAATAGGACGATCAAGTGTAAACAGGCGAGTGATTGATTACCAGGGAAATACTTTCCGACGACGCGGAAAATCCGGTTACCGGACTTATCCAAGCCTTGGAGTGTGAAGAACTGGAGAAGATCCAGATCAGAGAAATCTTCATCTTCGAGATATTGAGGACAATCGTGCCAGTTCTCTTGTTCATCAACCTCATCGCTTCTTGTTAAGAACGGTCGAGCATCAATTCCTAGATCAGAAGCCAACACAACCACCGAAAAATCTTCCGCCATCGCCGGAATATTCCTCCTCCTCACGGATCTTTTTTTTTTCTCGTGCCTTTTTTTTTTTTTTTGTTTTTGACTAGGGATTAGAGGCTATACTAACCTGCGGGTGAGTACACAGAGTTTAACGTGCGACTGAACACGTGGCTAAATCCAAACGAGTCTAACGACCTTTTGAACAGTCGCCGTTTTTTAATCGATTTCTCAGCTACATTCTCCGATCCGGCGAGATTCGATTCGATTTCCGACAAGTCTAACTCTTTCCCCAGATAAGCAAAGAAGGTAAGCCTTTTATGTAACCCAAGTCGAGAAAATCGAATTTGAGTTTGGATTTCATCGAGATAAGAGTGATTTAACAGAGTTTTTTTTGTCAGGTCTAGAGGTGAAAAAAATGGCAACTTCGCGTTTACAGTTGGAAGGAGATGACTCTGTTCATCTACACATTACTCATGCCAACCTTAAAAGCTTCTCTGCGGATGTTCGTTTCTCTCCACAAGTGAGTCTGCAGAAGAATCACTAGTGTTTTTTATATGTATTGCTCTCTTTAAATACATTTTTTTTTTGGATTTTGTTGTGAAGATGAGTGTAGAAGCTGTGAAAGAAAAGCTATGGAAGAAATGTGGTACATCTGTTAATTCCATGGCTTTAGAGCTCTATGATGACTCTGGCTCAAAGGTTGCAGTTCTCAGTGATAATTCAAGACCTCTCGGTTTCTTCTCCCCTTTTGATGGGTAACTTCTATTTTTCTCCATAGCTTGTAGAAGAGATTGCAAATTTTGCTAATTTAGAGAACTTGGAGCCTATTTGACTCAATAGACCTCTGTTCACTGTAATCTTGATACATGGAATCCAATTCAAATGTGATGGCTTCTTGTTTTATCATTTCATCTGATTGTTCTTTTCTGCTGCTTTCAATAGGTTTCGCTTGCACATCATAGATCTTGACCCGTCGTCAGTCACAACTGGAGGCTGGCTTGAAGATACATCACTGGTTGAGAAGTATAACATCTCAGAGGAGGATTATGCTAAACGAACTGGTAAAATTCTCTAATACCTGTAATCAGTGTCTCAAAGGAGACAAGTTTTTCAATCAAGTGACTTTGAATATATGTCAGAGCATCGCGAATTCCTTTGATGGTTGTATGTTCTTGTGTTCAAATTCCAGACAGTTTTAGGAAATTCAAAGAAAAAAGAGTGTCTCAAATTCCGGCTGCTGCTGAGGCTAAGGTATGACAAAACGAATATATCAATATAAGCCAAACTTGTATGTTGCTTCTTCTCAAACTTTCAGCGAAACTGAAGCTTTTAGCTTAGTCACTGGGAGAAGTATTTGAAGTAGACTAAGTCATTCAAGAATACTAATGTTCTTAGGTTTCTTCTTCCAATTTCATCCTTTCAACAGACGAAGGAGAACTATATGGAAGATCTCTGTGCGAATATCAAGGTTAGTCAGAAATATTCTTTTTGTATATGGAAGATCTCTGTGCAAATATCATGGTTATTTTTCCTTTAACTGAACCAGCCAGTTTCTTGTTAACTTTGTGAGACGTGACCTTTCTGATTCTGCTCCTTCTCAACTCGTTATGCTTCTAATTTATTTAATCATTCAAATGTTAAGGTGGGAGATAGATGCCAAGTTGAGCCTGGGGAGAAAAGAGGAATGGTCAAATATGTTGGACGAGCAGAGTCGTTGGGTCCTGGCTATTGGGTTGGAATTCAGTATGATGAACCCCTTGGAAAACATGATGGCATGTATGTTAATTCTTTCGTCTTGATACTATTTTGTACTCATTAAGGTTAAACTCTGTCAGAAATCGAAGTAAAAGTCCTTTCTTGCTTCTGGAACCTTGATTTCACTTGCAGCTCTTGTTTCTGTGCTACTATCACTTTAATCTTCTTAATCTTTTATAGACTTTTTCTTAACATCATGATGTTCATAACTTAAGTACAATCTGTAGAAGCTCGGTTGCCAGATCCCACATATTTAATACTGGCTTACATTTGCAGGGTGAAAGGAACAAGATTCTTTGAGTGCCCTCCGCTTCAAGGTGGTATGGTCAGGCCTGACAAAGTAAAGGTATTTTGTTTTCTTTAAGGTCTTAGCTTCACAGTTGCTTAATTCATTCTGCTTGTGAAATGACATTATATTTCATAGAACCGAACTGGTTAGTCATTCTACATTATCCGTTGTATAGTAGAATTTTCTGTTTCTCAAATAGATGATGCGGGTTTTACCTTTCCAAGTTTAATATTAGGAGTCTGGAGTCCAATATGGGTTAGCTATAGAAATAGCTAATATCTAAAGGTAATTATCACTCTCAAGCTAACTTTTGGGCGAGTTTGACTTTGTGGATATGGTTTGGACCTAGTATGGATTGGGTTCTTAGCAGTTAACCTCGTTTAAGTAATTAGTTGGATAGACTGAATCAAAAAACCATTTTCTGGTACTCATGAACTTAATATTGGCTTGCAGGTTGGTGATTATCCGGAAAGAGACCCTTTCGAGGAAGATGAAATATAAGATTTTCACGGAAGCATCAAACCAGTAAGGAGCAGAAGGAGTTTGAAAGAGTTGCTTTTGTGTTCAACATCAATTCTTTTATCTTATTACATTTTGCCTCTAGTTTTGGATTTACAAGAGTTGGTGAAAACACGATGCAGCACAAAATATTAATTTTAATGAAGAATAACTAGTAACACTTTGATTTCACAAGGATTCAGGTTATGATCTGCGGTTTATACACAATTATGCGACGACTTGCAATGTGGATATACCACTGGGTCAAGAACCAAAGAACAGATGTACTTATATGTCTAAGTTTCTGGTCCTTAGTCTCTATCTTGTACCAAATTGTTGATCATCTTAGCAAGAGGAACAGTCCCCTTTGTCATGATCTCCAATCTTGAGGTATTAGAAGCATGCGAGAAGAGCGACAACCCAAAGAACAACAGTTCCGGGAGAAACAGCCTGGAAGACAAGAATCCGTGCCAGTAATGAGGTTGCAGATCAAAGAATGCATCAAAGAACCTTCTAGTAGCGTCTAAGTTGAGTTTCAGCAGAATATCCATTCCAAAACAGAAGAATTCCCTCTGTCTGCGCCGTTCAATAGGCCACAAGTCTCTCCATACCTCAGCAGAGAGTTGATCTCCTCTTAGGCTGTTACTACTCGGTGAACCGAGGTATCTCACAATGGCGTTTGCAACTATTGGCGCAGCTGCAAGAGTCCTAGCTACCATGTAACCAGTTGAGGGATGAACCATTCCCGCTGTCCCACCAATCCCGACAACTCGTTGAGGTAAGACTGGTAAAGGACCGCCCATTGGGATCACACAACGCTCGTCTTCCTCAATCCTCTTCACATTGATCCCCAAATGTTTCAGTCTAGCAGCCATTCTTTCTTGGATATCGTCCATACGCAGACCAGGTCTAGCAACTAAAGAAGTTTCTTCAAGAAATATTCGGTTGGAAGAAAACGGCATCGCGTACAAGAATGTTGGGATCTTGCTGTTCCGTTCTTTAAGCTCAGGATATGAGTCCAGATGTCTGTCTCTCCAATCCATGAACACCATTTTGTCTACATCGAAAGGGTGACCATCGACTTCAGCTATAATCCCGTAAGCTACTTGGTACCCAGGGTTGTACGGTTTGTCATACTGAACCAAGCATCGGGAAAACCCGGTGGCATCAAGAACCACCGAAGCCTGAATCTTCACACCGTCGCTGCAAACCACAGTGGAGTTTGCCTCCTCGTGAACCACGTTAGTGACCTTAGACTGATGAAACTTAACACCGTTGGTAATACATTTCTGAAGCATTTTGGATTTGAGCTGTTTCCGGTTAACTCTCCCATAAGGCCGGCTTAAATCCTTCTTGACACCTTCATCGACATAGACAACAGCACCAGACCATGTGGTGTCTAAGCAATCTAGTAAATCCATAGCCTCAAACTCATCAACCCAAACTCCATAGTTGTTAGGCCATATGAGCTTTGGAGAAGGATCAATGGAACAAACAGAGAGTCCAGCCTCAGAAACCTGCTGAGCCACAGCTAAACCAGCAGGACCACCACCAACAATAGCCAAATCAACAACTTGACTCTTGGAAGTGTCGTACAAAGGAAGCTCGAAGTCAAGATTCTCCTTCTTAGTTTCAGGAACAAGATCCAAAAGAGCAGCACTACCACTGGCAACACTAGAGCCAATTTTGATAGCCCTTTTCTTCAGACCAAGCCTAACCCTTGCAGGGTTTGGATTATTACTGCTTAATCTCTCAAACCCATGAAACTGAGGGATGAAAAAATCGAGCTTGTTGGGTGTTTTCAACAGAGTATCCATCGAATTCCCCCAAAATCACCAAAAGGATATAATTCAAAAATCACCAGACACGATTTCTAACCAGAGGGATTGCGAATATGAAATCTCTAGAGAAAAGATGAACGAAGACCACAAAACTTACCCAGAAGCAGAAGCTTCATGGAGATGGAGACAATTATCTTCTTCCCAGAGAGAGAGAGGCAATGAATGTGTTTGTGCCTTTGTGGTATGAGTCATTTAGTGGGTCCTGCAGATCCAATATGTGCTAAAATCCATTATCATTATTATCTTTAAAAAGCTTTTGGTTTGTGACTTTGGTTTGCGTTTTGGTCATTAGTCACTCACTACCTCATAACCACTACTAGCTAACGAACTAAGACATGGTTGTTGAATTTCTGATTCATTATCCAGATTCAATGTTTCATTTGTAATTCGTTTTTGAGCTGATATAAAAAAAAATATATATATATTTTTCCAAATTTATAAGATATATGAATTTAGATTTTTATGCATATGACTAAAAACATGTTTTTATGTTTATAATGTTTTATGACTAACTTTTTTGTTTTAAACCAATTTTATAATTTTGGTCCTAATTTTTCTATACAAATTCCAAGATTATAACAAAGCCAAAAAATGTGAATTAATAGTTTTAGTGCTTTAAAACCCAAATTCATATTTTTTTTGGCTTTGTTAAAAGACGAAGATTCATGGGATTTCCGTTTTAATTTTAAAAAATGGAAACTATAAAATCCCATAAAATCTCCAACTTATATTCTTATTATTTACATATTTAAAATTAGTTAGAATAATATGTAAAAGAACCTTAGAGCAAATTTGAGGTCGAAAAGCCTGAAAAATTAGGGTTTTGGCCAAAGATGGAGCAACAAGAAGAAGAGAAGAAGAAGATAAAAGTCTACCAAAAAAAAAGAAAACGATCAAAATCAGGTTCGTCGTCCATTCCTCTAGATCTAGTCTCAGAGATACTCTTAAGGCTGCCTGAGAAATCCGTTGTGAGGTTTCGTTGCGTGTCCAAGCCTTGGTCATCAATCACCACCGAGCCATATTTCATCAACTTGTTAAAAACTAGGTCTCCACGGCTTTTACTCTGCTTCAAAGCAAATGAAAAGTTGTTTGTTTCCTCGATTCCGCAACATCGTCAGACATTTGAGACTTGGAACAAGTCTCACTCTTCTTCTCAGCCTATGGATCGTTATCATATGGAATTCTCAAAAGAAATCAATTACTTCCTCCCTACGGAATCTGTCAATGGCTTGATCTGCTTTCAAGAATCAGCAAAGCCGATAGTTTGGAACCCTAGTACGGGACGGTTGCTGACTTTACCTACACCCAATGGGAACTGGAATGATCTAACAATCTTGTTAGGATACGATCCAGTGGAAGGTAAACACAAAGTAATATGCATGCAGTTTTCAATAACTTGTGATGGGTGTCGGGTTTTAACCTTAGAACCAGGTCAAAAAACATGGAGAACGGTCAAAACGCATTATAAGCATCGTTCTGACTATAATACTTGTGGGAGATGCATCAACGGTGTTGTATATTATATAGCCTTTGTCAATGATAGGTGTGTGTGGGTTCTAATGAGCTTTGATGTCAAATCTGAAAAAATTGATATGATCGAGTTACCATCATCGGATGTTCACAAGGATGTGCTGATAGCTTATCATGGGAGGTTAGCTTGTGTTGGTAGAGAAAGAATAAAGAAGAATGGTATCAGATTGTGGATTTTGGAGAAACACAAGTGGTCGAGTAAAGACTTTCTTGCACCTCTTGTTCACATAGATAAGAGTTTGACAACTAATTTCCTACTAAAAGGTTTCACTCATGCTGGTGAGTTTATTTATGTAGAATCCATGTTTCATAAATCGGCTTATATTTTGTTTTGTGATCCGGTGAGAACCACTTTTAGAAGGTTCGAGCTTAAAGGGTTCACTGACGACGAGTTTGTGCTCAGTAATGAACATGGTTATACGCTCCATGTTTTCCCGAATCACCTTGAGAGTCAAATCTCTTTTACTTAACAAATTTCTTCGTTTTGTTTTTTCTTGTTTTCTTTAGAATGACACTTACTTTTTGCAAGTTTATGGTTTCTTATCTTTCTTATATGTTCGATTCCAAAACACTTATACAAAAAACAAAACGTCTAAGTAACATTAACAATTGTAACAAGTAAAAACAAAAACAGAAGAGAAAAGAGACACTGAAAATTACATGATCTTCTTAAACTTATTACTAACTTCAAGCTTAAGTAACAATGTTAATGGAAAGCCCTTTTTATACACCCCACCAAATAGTCTTTGCAAAGGAAAACCATCAAAAGCTGAATCTTTTGTACACAAACGTGTCCTACGTTATGAGTGATAAAGCAAAACCTGCATAGTTTCCAGAAACCAAAGATGATCATGATATGCAAATTCAAAAAAAGGGTTAACCTGAGATTTGAAGCAGATGAGCATACTTCTTACCTATTACCTAACTACTCGCTTCCAATGTTATCGTAACTGAAACCTTCAGATATGGTATCCAACCTCTTGTTGTCTCCTGCAAAAACACACACTTACCATTATCACTTCTGTTTGTTGCCTCAATACTTCTACTTTCTCTAAACCAGCGAGCTAGTCTATTGTGTCTTGAAGAATTTGAAACCCGATTACTCGCGTTATATTACAGAAAGTAAGAAAGATTCCTAGAGCTCTCTCACCTTGATATTCTCCTCTTTCACGGGAGTCCAGGAAGTTTTCGGCATTCGCCACAAGGAAGGGTGATCTATCGTAGCTCTCCAGAATCTCTGAAATCAACAGAAAACTTATAGTTACAAATAATATATCATATTAGCAGTTCACTGGCTCTTCTACTAGAAAACCACTGATAACTACTTGGTTCTATATGCATGCTAAGACGTCAGAACAACTGAGAGAGAAAGGCGTATAAGAGATGGAGAAAGACCTGAGCTCTGGGAAAAATCAGCTGTCAAATCAGAGAGGCTAAAGTTACGAGGAATTTGACCTAAGAACCCAATAGTAGAAGTTTCTGCTTCAAGAAGCGTATCACTGAGAGGTTGGTTGTTGGACTCATTACTGAAATTAGAAATCGAAGTATCCCCAACTGCCGAATGTCCTTCGAGGGCATTCCGTTCGCCACCATACATGAATGAAGCAGGGTTTGTAAAGGCAGTCTCAGATTTGATCATTCCTCCATTCATTCCTTGCACCATAGGCATGTGCGATGAGAGCATATTTGGAGAAGCATCAACTCTCCTAGCATGGGTTGATATGTTTATAGAAGAGGGCACGTTTGTATTGAGTGTTGAAGAGCCATTGAGGAATGCATTAGACAGACTAGAAGCCATAGGATGATGTGCACTTTCAGACTTCAAAGACTGATCAGTGTGCTCAGAGGGATAGCATAATTGTTTCTGATTCACTGTTAAGAAAATTACATAGATTAGCTATTTAATACTCATAAGTTAGCGACTTGAAATCATGACTAATCTAAGGAAAACAACAAACACATAATGTTCACCGGAAAACGGAAACCATGAAAAGAACTAAGGCAGCAAAAGTGGAAGCCAGAAAACAAGACAAGGCATATGAGGACTGTTTACTACAACACTTGACCAACAATTGATAGCACATTGATACAAGCAATAAAGAGACACTAAAATGCAAAAAAAGTAAAATCCATCTCACTCCAAACGAAACTTACTTGATTGAATATGAGAACCATTAGTATTTTGGACGGAAGCAACCCCAGTTGGATGCATCTGACGCATGTGGTGAACCTGCTGCTCAAGCAACTTGTTGAACTCCATTATCTGGTGTTTAACCATTAGCCTAAGATAGTAAGCCTTGAAAAACTCCCGATTCTCTTCTTCAAGCTTCTGCCAAACTATAAACCAAAAAGGAAAGCGTGTGACCATAAATTTTTGGCCAACCCTGCAGTAGGAGGATAATCCCCATCTTTATCATCAATACTCATTACAATACATTTTCTCTCATATTTCATGATTTATTGTTAGTAATATTGTTGTCAGCCCCTTTTTCTGCTTCTTAGGAGTTCTCATTTCTAAGCACTTCCTAACTAGGTTCTGACCAATAAGACTCTTGCTAGGTGACACTGGAACCAAACAATACATAAAATTTCAGTTTTAAGTAACAACAAAATCATTCACACATGATTCAAAGTAATAACTATTAATTCAAAGTAATGGATCCGAAAAGGAGAAGCATCAATGATTACACAGTCAGATGCTAATTTGTGTGAAAAAAAAAACAGAGTACTTGAGTGGCTACCTAGCTCTGTGAACCCAGGCTCGATTTTAGCCTGCTCTAGTAAAGTATCTACAACTTCTTTCTGATTCATGTAAAGTTGAAGGCATCGTTCTATAAGGTTTTGAACCTGAAATGGCATAACAACAAGCTCTTCATGGCAATTAAACATATGCCTCAATTCCACCATTTTGATAAAACATATGCAAATAAGTAGTATAACTCTGAAAAAATTGAGATTGCGGTTCACAACTACAAATAACTTAAAGACCATTTATTTGTTGTTATTACCAGTTGTATATCTTGACGTGAAACCCGTCTCACTGATCCACTTGACATCTCTGTGACTTTTGTAAACCAGACCTTGTTCCTGTCAGGAAGAAGCAGTATAAGAATTTGATTTCTGTGCAAAATTAATTTGTTTTTATATATCAAATCATTAGAGGTTTTTATCTCCAACTATCTTCACTGATTAGAAACAAGGTTCTTTCTCACATATCAACTTAGAGTACTATTCAGAAAATAACTCAAACAAAGTAAATACATAAACAGATTCTATTGCCAACAAACAGACTCTATGCAACATGAGCTCGGCAGAGCTAAACCATAAAATCCAATCAGAAAAAAAAAAAGAAAAAAAAAATCGCAAATTTAGCCAGACATCAATAAAACAAAAGTGAAAGGAATTTGATTTCTCTAGGTTTAAAAAAAAAACAGAGAATCAGAAATACAAAATGAATCAGGCAAACATGGATTCACAAATAAAAGGCTAAACAAACTGAGAATCCTCCACTTTACCCCAATCTATAAACCCAACACTTTGAATCGATTTCTTCTTCAAATACAACCGGATCAAATCAAATCAAATCAACAATAACAATTTTTGTTTTAAAGAACATCAAAACGATCAAGAAAACAAATTCGATTAGCTCAAAAAACCAGGCAAATTCAAAAGCATAAGATCACCTTTAATCGAAGAAGATTCGAGAGAGAAGAGGAGATGAGATGGAACCTAACCTCACTTTGTTGATCGATCGTGGATCAATTTCTTTACTCCTTTCTTATTCCATTTTCTTTTATTTACTTCTTTATATATCTTTTATTTTTTATATTTAAAATTTAATTTTACCATTCCGGCTTCGGAGCTCAGGAAGCTGACACGTGTAAAATGTTTGACAATGGTGGATCCCATTCAATTATACTAGAGTTATATCTGATCTTCTTGTTAGCCGGTCAATCTTTCTTAGTCAACGATTCTTAGAGAAGAAGAAATTAATTGTTTTGTTTTGTGAAATAATTAACATTTTAGACATTGAGCTAAGGAGTTCTCTATTAACTTGTAGTATAAAAATTTAACCAAGGAGATACAATAGTAATCTTTGTAAGGAAATTACAAAAAATATTCAATACACAAAATCTACATGAATGAACGAATATTCTCAAAACATTCATTTAGCAAACCATAATCCATATTGTTCTAACAATCAATAAAGAAGCTTGATTGATTTAGTCTCACTCACGCTTCTTTAATCCAAACTTTCCACTTGGGATTCTACTGAGAAAACCAGTATCAAGCTTCTTGTAGTGACTATGAAACTTCATGATCAGAGAATCCATAAAACCATCCACTTCGTCTTCGTATCTCTCATACAGAACCGGCATTGTGTGTGCCCCAACAAACCCTTCACACACACACACAAAATGCATCCCTTAAAAAAAAAATCTTGTAAAACTCAGCTTCCAATCTTAAAAGAGGAGACCCTAGTAAGAACTACTCACCGATGTACAAAACAGTTAGGAAATTGCAACAGCTCCCGACCATTGCGGCTACCCATAGTCCGATTATAGCCTGATTTTGTGTAGATAAGATTGATAAAAGTTTCTAGAAACAGTATCTTAGCATATTTATGAATACATTATATGCAGATCTATATGCGATGAAACAAGATTGTGGTTATTGAAACAAAGAAATGGAAGCAAAAACAACGCACCATGAGGAACTGTTTCATATTCCCTTTACAAGCCAAGTCCTGTAGAAACAACAAACCGCGGTTAACTTCTTTTCCAATGGCCACACCTACTTCAGCAAAGAAATCCTTTGGAAGAACAAGCCGAGGCACTCTAGACTGTGAGCTGCTTTGAGACATGAAAGGACACTGTGTTAGATTGCAATCACAATGAACCAAGAATAATGACAACAAAACTTCAAAAAGTTACCGGTTTAGGAACCCTGAGGCATTACACCAAACGAATTGGGCGATCATACCAAGCAAGAGGGCGTAGCAGAGGAGAGACAGAAAATGGAAATTGATCCATTCAAAAAGCACCCAAATTGCAGTAGCTCCCATCAAAACACTTGCAGAGATCTTCTTGTTCCTCCATAACAACACATCAGCAGCTGAAGAAATCTCCCAAGACTCAATTACAACACGCCCAAAACAAAAAAAACTCACATTTTTTTCCGTGTATAAGAATTCTTACATTTACCACCACCTAAGATATTGTGAATTGGCTTCTGACGACCAAACAAACGGTTGAAACGAGAACTGACGGAATCTTCTTGTTCGAAGAAGGAGGAACCATGTTTGTTCTTCTGAACAGTCTCCGTGAAGTTATCCACCAAATCACCGATAACATCCTCTACAATGTTCTTCTCAGGCATGATTCTGAAACACAATCGAAATCTGAGATTCTTAATTTGTTCGAAACTCAAGCAAACATTTGAAAGTTGCCTTCATAAAAAAAAAAAAATCGAAACTTTTGATCATTTCTTCTTCATACCCTAAACCCAAAAACGCTGTAAAGTAATCAAATTTGGTCTTAACAGTTCGTTGGTGATAATTACAATGATATGAAACCTAGATCTTAGTATGTATTTGGCGAGAAATTAAAGAGCAAGAACGAGATAAAAATGAAGATAAGTAAGAGTAAACCTGTAGGAACTGGACAAGAAGAAGAAGCTTGGTTGTTTTGTGAATTTCACACAAAAAAAAGTAGCTTTCTCTCTTTGAAGATTCTCTCAATCACGAAGAAAGATGGAGGGTGGACGTGAAGAGCAAGCGATGGGATTGGTTGTGTCGAATAATTGAATTACAAAAAAATTGTTTTTTTAGGGCAAATTTGGAATCTAGTGTGTAATAAGGGATAGGACTTGTCTTCCCACGTGTAAGCTCATGACAATACAAAAAAATTAATTGTTTTAAAAAGTATCGGACGCCAAAAAAGAAGAAGTTGAAACGTATCATTGTATTTGCAAGACAAACAAGAAAAAGTTTCTATGTAGATTTGTCAACCGTTACAATTCTTGTTGAAAATTAAAAATTTTCCTTTATTCAATGAATTAAAGTCACACTAATATGGTTGTAACATGCGTTCGTAACACCGTTTTAGGTTGTTCATCAAGAAAAAATCATGTTTAATTCATTATATACCAAAATACCTACCAAAACGAAAGATAACTTGTTCACAATCGATTCCTCTGCGATCACTATACTACCAAACACATCAATCAAACTTTAAACTCAGAATACAATATTTAAAAACAATACAACAAGCAGAGAAGATATTCATCGCACAATAACAAAGTTACCTTCTTATTATCTTCCTTCTAATCGTTAGTTTTAACTTCTTCACATCCATTGGGATGTTGCTTTCGTAATAGATTTAAGGGATTTATAGAGCTTCTGTTTTATGAATTCATTGATAATGGGGTTTTCCTTGTATTAAGCAGAGTTACTCATGGGATTCAGTGTTTTACGATGTGTACAAAACTATAATTATGAACACTAGTTAGATTAACGAGAGTTTCGTTTGACTTTGATTAATATTTACTAGAACAGCTGGCCACTATTTTTTTTTTTTTTTCCCAAAGACAAACTTTTAGACATTTTACTTTTACTTTTTAAAAAGAGATGTAGAAAATGTATATAAATCGGTCGAGGGTGATTGGTTGAGATTTTTGCCGTAAGCTTTACTTTTTTTGGTATGTGATGTTTTTAGGAATACTGTAGATTTTCTAAAATTCATATCTTACTTTTCGTTGTGTATTTTATTGATGATGGTTTGGCCATGCCTGATTTTCAGGAATGCCAAATTGAAGTCATAATAGATAGCAAGTAGTTAAGTACCTATTGAATGCAAATAAATTCCTCTAGTCTCTAGAAAAATATAGTTCCAAGAGATAGAAACGCCCAACAAGTACCTTGTGAATTGCTAAATTTTGATATTGCGAGATAATAATCCTAACAATGATTTTTGTCTTTATAGGCCAGAAGAAGAACAAAATCCTGTTGGCCTGTGAGTATATGATTCAACCTTAAAATGATGATGTCTCTTAAACTCCCTTTGCACTTCACCAAATTCGTCTCTTTGTTGTTTGTATATAGCTGACGCAATAAGCTGTGTTATATGTCGAGATTCTCCAGATTCATCCTAGTCGCAGCGCTTTTGATGAGTTCCTTCCTGACATCCACCTGAAACAGACACAGAACACAACATTGTAGCATGAGTTTTGCCAGTTTATTGACTATTATTATGAGTCCGAGTCTGGCAATTCATTGGCTTACCCGAGCACCCATCAGAGATGAGAAGACCATATTCGTTTCTGCTGCGTCCTCAACAACTAGTTGCTTCAATATCCTTGTATCTGGGTTCATTGTTGTTTCCCATAGCTGCGCAGGCATCATCTCACCCAAACCTGCAGATGCAGAAGAAAGGAACATTACGAAATAATACTGTTGTGCCAACTAGAATCCAAATGTTGAGACTAATCAAGATGTCGTTATGCGCAAACACTAAAGAGTATCTAAATAGCTAACCCACAACAACTACTATAGATTAACTTTTCATAGTTATTTATCCTTTCCAAAGAACACATTCATGATGTGAGAAGTCATAAGACCACAAAACTAGGTTTCTCTTTGCCATTACCTTTGAACCTCTGAATGTTGTAAGATGCGTTTGCAGGGAACGAAGCGGTAATTTTTTTAAGAGCTGCATCATCGTAGCAATAGTGTGCCTGTTTCCCCCTCTCAACCTGATCGTTTTCAAAGAGAGACTAGCTTTTTAAAAAAATCCGTAATATCTGAAGCACAATAACGGCAGAAGATTATAAATGCTAAGAGCTTACCTTGAAAAGAGGTGGAACACCAACATATATACAACCAGCGTCAAACAAGGCTCTCTGTAGAAAGTAAATTTCATTAATTCCACATAAGTCAATCAGCAATCTAAGGCTTCTTTAACTAATGTTTTATCCAACCAAACTAATACCTGATATCTGAAGAAAAAGGTTAACAGAAGTGTCCGGATATGTGCACCATCAACATCTGCATCTGTTAAGATGATAATTTTATGGTAACGCAGATTCTCCTTGTTAAAATCTTCTCCCTGAAATATATTATATGTCAAACTGAGTTTTCCGAACATACCAGCAAATAGAATATGAAAAAGGATATATTACCTTAACTCCAAGACCAAGGCCAAGAATTAGATTTTGAATTTCTTCGTTCTTATACATGGCTGCTTCATCCTTTCTCTCAATATTCAAAATTTTACCTCTCAAAGGAAGAATCGCCTGCATAGATCGAAATACAGTGTTACAGACTAACAAAATAGAAGCAGAACCCAATATTTCCACAATCATATATGCTTTAACTTTCATCAAAAAGATAATGGCACAACCCATATGATGCTACGTCGACCTGTGAATAATTCTCCAAATTTGCATGCGACACACTATCCCAAATCAGCCTTATTCATCTAAAGTTTGGTTTGCATCCTTACTCTCATGTTATGAAACACCAAAGAATGTCGATACTACTCAGAGACTCAATCAATTTCGTTTTGAGAGTAAAGAGAGGACTCTTAGACTCTTAGTGTTTTGTACTAAAAAGAAGCCTACCAGAATAGTATTAAACTTTTCATGTTTTTACCACTGGAAGCTGCAAAGGCTCAACTTAAACATGGGAAGAAAATTCACTATCTCAAGCATCAGGCAGTAGCACCTTGCAGAATGAATATTATTTGCGTGGATATCAGCTATAGGCCTATAGCTAAGGGAAAAAAATTTATTTTCTACCCCCTCCCCAATTCCCTTTCTACGCTGAGCAGAATGATTTATTTTACCTGGAAACGCCTGTCACGACCCTGTTTCGCGCTGCCACCAGCAGAATCTCCTTCGACAATGAATATCTCTGGTAGCATAGGAAATAGATGTCAATAACTGACTAACTTTCACAGCTTACAAGGCACTTCATACTGGCTAATGCATACCAGATTCTGCAGGATCTGTAGATGAGCAATCTGCAAGTTTCCCAGGAAGTGAGGATGACTTCAAAACGCTTTTTGATCTCACCAACTCCCTAGCCCTCTTGGCAGCCAGAGCAGCCTAAAAAGAAACAGAGTCATGGTCATTTGGTTGAATACTTGAAATTAGTAACTAGACACACTGTAGGAGACACTTACTCAATCAAAGAATATGCTAATCACAGATATCAGAAAAATGATTCTCAAGGAGTTAAGGGATAAAACACATATTTGAGTGCTCGGGTGCATGTGTGTAAGTGAAGATGTGAAAGCATGAGCAGATATTTCAATGTCGCACCTTGTACGCATTCAAGGATTTTGAAATAATGCTTTCAAGTACATCCGGATGCAATTCCAAGTACTCCGTGAGGTATTCCTGGACTGATTGATCAACAATTTTTCTCACCTCTGGATTTCCTAGTCTTGTCTTTAGGAAACAAAAATATTAAAATGAGCAACAGAATCCAAGAAAAGTTATGGCCTGCTGACCAGAGATTGTTGACAAAAAAGAAGGTCAACATATCATTATGCTCTCAAGTACCTTTGTTTGACCTTCAAACTCAGGGTTAGGAACCTTGACAGAGACAATGCAGGTCAATCCCTCCCTAACATGTTCCCCACTTAAGCTAATATCCTTTTCCTGAAAACATAACCAACAACAATAAGTTACACCATGAGTCAGCAACCTTTTCAGAACTGGTCAAGAAAAATGCTTAAATGTATGCAAAAGCAACCTCTATAACTGCCATGTTTCACAGTTCAATCATGGATAGTACATTGTTCATTGTCCGTAAAGCATGTCTATCAAGTTCAGATGTACGAGTATTCAAGTTTAGTCTCAGTTCATGGAGAGGAATAGATAATATAATCCTTGACCCACAATATCTCAGAACACTCTTTTAACCATAATAATGACCAACTAACCACAATTAGCATTTGCAGTTTTCATGAAAAAGGAGGAAAAAGGCTCAAAGCCTCTAAGAGTAAATGGTATCACACCTTGATAACCTTTAACTTTTTCGCAAGGGAATTTAGAGTTCTTGTTAATGAAGCCTTCACACCTTCTATATGTGTCCCACCATCAATGGTCCGAATACTATTCGCGTATCCCAGCATCGTGTCTGAATAGGCATCTGAGCACCTGGTACAATAACGAGATTATATATTTAATCATATAAATTTTGGATAGCTACCATGATATACACATTCTCGTCCAGAAGAACTGCAGTATATACACTATACAGTCATCAACTCCGCATACAGTACAACATTTTTCCATCCAGTTTAGATAGAGTAAACCATAAAATTAGTCAGCCTAAATGTTCAAGTATGTGGTTTTACGGTAAATACAATCAGATTATAATCTGTTCATCATACAAGCAGATATTAGAAGACGTATGTAGAAGGAAAAGTAAAATACCACTGAAGTGAAACATCAACGGTGGAGCCATTTATCTCTTTTCTGAAACCGAGCACATCATGAAGAGGTTTCTGAACAAAATAATTGTTAATTCATATTTTCAGGAGGACAAGTAATAAGGATGACCTATAATACCAGAGACCTAATGCATAAGAGCTAACTTAATAGAGATTAAGTTGACACAGGTCTCATACTCATGCTAAATAGAGCCCTAAAGAATAATGAACAGGTCAACACATCTTACCACCAAGTAAGCTGAGAAAGAAAAGTATTAGTACCATCCCCATTGCATTTTGTTTCACAAAACCCATTCCAATTTAATTGCCACTATTTTAAGTATAGCATCACCGATTGGCCAATAATTGAGACTTTATACAACTATAACAAGGGATCCACAGTACAAGCC